CTCTGAAGGTCCATAAACTCATGAAGTCCTGTCTAATTTATCACTATGTTTTTTACAGTGCCTTTGGTATACTTCTACAATATTTATTCAGCAAATGAATTCTGCCTAAGAATTCTGTTCACAGTATTTTGCTTAAATTTAAGTTTAAAGTTTTATGTCCTATATAGAATACTTTTATTATATACAATTTATATTTAATTAGGAGTCATTTTTCCAGAAGCACTTTGGAAACAAGTGGCAACTATTCCAAAAGGCCTATCCAAACACAATAAATTTGAAATACATGAAGAGACAAGAAAGAAATCCCTCTCCCCCCACCAAAGAAAGCCTGTCTATACTAAGGGACTTAATGTTCCTACCAGATAACTAAAAAATGTGCTGAATACAAGGAAAAAATTTATGTGTGGCCATCTGAACTTAAAGAAATAATTACTCTGCTAAGATTTATCTTCCCTACAATTGGGTTAATGGAAGGCTGCATTTTGGTATGCAAAAAAATCTTTTTTTAAAATAAAAAAAACTTTAAACCTCTTAGGCACATTACCCTCTTATTTGACAAGAAAGTTGCCCTCACATATAATCTGTCATAGCCAAGTCTGCAAAATGCACTAATGGTAACTGTTTAAAGAAAACTACTACTTATGGAAGATTGACAGTATTAACTAATATTCTTTGGTTATGTGTTGTTGAAAGAATAAATGACTTCTGAAGGGAAAAAAAATTAAAAATTGCAAAAACAATACATTGGTAGTTTTTCACTGTAATAGAAGTCAATAATTAAAAAACACAGAGTAAAAATATTTCCATTTATGAAGATGCTTGTCCATTTGCTTCTCCTAAGAATGTGTTTCAGGAACAGAAAGCATGTCCTTGGTGGGCGGAATGAGTGTCATTTAGGTTTTAGATTAGCTGCTGCCCTAAAATCTATCTTGATGGGCTTGTGCTAAATGACAAGGCTGTGAAATGAAATACAAATTAGGCTTAACTAGGATAGATTGCATTAAAAAATGTACTCGACTGAGCAGGGAAGTTCAACTAAAGTTCAGTGAGTTCACGCTGGTGTGAAGAGGGGTGAAGGGCTGGGTACAGCGTCATGTCTGTGGTGGGTGGGACCTCACTAAGACATCTTCTGGCTCCAAAACAAAGGCAATGTTATGTGAACATATACAAACATGGGCTTTCCAGCAGTGACTGACATCCTGCCGGATGCAGTTAATTTGAACCACCTGAGGATAATTCTAGCAATCGGCTTTATGATCACCATGCTCACTGTTGGTTCACACTGAATATTTGTGGGCTGATTTTCCAAACACAGTGTTTATCTGAATCACGAATAGATGCTTCTGATTTTAAAAGTCATCAATCATATGCTAAATAGATATTCCTCTTTTCCAACTACTACATACTTTCAGCATGATTTACATAATTTAAAAACTACTTTGAATTATTTCACACATACTAAGAATCTTTTTTTTACTTTTTTACATTAACAAAATCCATAAATTTGAAACAGACTTTTTCCTTTCCAGTGTTATCTGATAGCACAACTGTTTTTTTTTCATAATATACACCAGGATCTAAAACAATTTGCTTTGATAAAAATGGTTAGCATATATAGCATTCATTTGAACTGTTCAAATACTTTCCATTTCTAATTTAATTTCATTCTCTCAATAATGCTATGATGGCATTACTGTTACTACTTACATCCCCAATCCACAGATGAGAAAGCTGAAGCACAAAGAAGGTTAGTAATTTGCCAGATATACAGAACAGAATCAGAATTTAAACACAGTTACTCAGTTGCAGAAATGGCACCTTAACCCACTATTTTGTGACATCCCACAATTTTATACTCAACAAAAGAAGAAGAAATTACAAATAATGCATGGTTAGAACACCTGAATGGTACACATTGAGAGACCAAGAGTGGGAAAACACATAAACCAGTTTAAATAATTGTATTGTTTAAAATTGTTAATGGGTATAGGAATATATTTTGGAGTGATGAAAATGTTCAAAAATTGTGTAGATGGCTGCACAAATCTGTGAACACTAAAAATCATTCAATATGTATTTATGCAGGTATGTAGCTTCAACTTTTGATTAATTTCTCAAATTGCTATTGAAAAGTTGTTATCAGAGCAGGAAAGGATAATTGATGCCTCCTAACCTTGTTTGATCACATTTAAAGATAGTCTAAAATCATGGACATAATCACATAAACTGATTTGTTCTTCCATGCTACAATTTTATTTTGTGACTTTATTGTCCAACACTCTTGCTTATGACTTGTGACTTGATTGTCACACATGTGTATGTATGTGTATATCCTATGGATTCAAGAATCTTCTCTTCTAATTACCCAAAAAGTAATCCTAATTTCTTTTCTCCTTTTAAAAAATATTCTGATTAAAATCGAAAATACATTCAAATATAATTGTTTCATTTTTTTTCTTTTTCTTCAGCCTTCTTCCTTAAACACTTTTTGTAAAGTTTGAAGTATAGGAAAGTAGATAAGTTAATTTGGGATGGGGGTGCTCTCTTTCTTCAAGAGAATGTACTCTTCCTTGTCTTTTAAGCACCCCCTCACTTCCTGAAGACATGTATCTTTGAAAATAAATTGGATTTCAGCTGCTTTGGTCCTTGTCTGGAAGTTGACAGAGAATGCTACCTTTTGGACCAAAGCATTCTGTCCTCTATTTGTGATATTAATATTCACACTCTAAATTTTCTAAAGTTACAACTTTATATGTTAAACAAAATTTCTGATGCCCTAGGGAAAGATATAGAAGATAGTTTAATCCTATAATTTATTAGATATCTTATAAAGCATTGCTTTGTTTTGTTTTGCTTGAAAATATATTTTGTGGTATGGATTGTGAGACAGCATAAACCAAAAGTACTTGTACTACATTTCATTTATATTTACAATGTGTTATATTCTTTCATACACATAATTAAAGGATCTTGTTGACCCTTATGTTGTAAGCCACATGAAAAAATATACATTTAGATTTTAATTATAAACAGATTTAGTCTCCACTATGTTTGTTTTCTTTTAGTCTGTATTAGCACAGTCATTTAAATAAAACGTTTATTTGTAAAAGTGTGTATTTTACTTGAAATAGCTAATTACAAACCTGATTGGGGTTTTTGTGGTACATCTTTTAAAGAGTAATTTTTTAGGTTAAAATTCAAACATTTCACCTTCAAAATGCCTCATGTTTGATTCGGTATGCTTGAATTAAACATATTATATCTACTTGAATCTCTCTCTATTTAAGGGAACCTTTCTGAAAAAAACAGGCATAGCAGTTTACTTCCTGTCTGTGGCTTTCCAAGAATGAATTAAAATGTGTAAAATGATTTGAGATGCATGGTGAAAGGATGCTTTGGAGTGTTAATCCCCCATGAATTCTGCCTCCAGCATCCTGCCTAAATAAGCAGGAAACTTCTGGAATTGAACAAGCATTGTGGGTGGCCATGCTATGGTTAACAGGAAGTAAGGGGAGATTTCAATTAAAGATGTGAGTTAACTCACATAAATACTATTATTTGTAGGTGCTTGTGCATGTATGTAAGTGTAGGCCTGCACTGATAGAGCAGACAGGCCAAGAGGACTGAAAAATAAATTCTCCCATGTGTCAGAGGAAATGCTCTGGGCATAAGATAGATATTTTTCAGGAATTTATTTTTTATCTCAACATACTTCAGTGGTTTAAAATACCATTGAATTTGGCTATGATCAGAATTTTGGAGACTTGTAGATAAATTAAAGGGCAGCATTATGCTTTCCTTTACTGTTGAAATTCCAAAGCTTAAATTGTTTTTCCATTTCTTTTTCCATGTTCTGGGGTGAGGAAGGAATGTAACATAGTTTATTTCCTGTGTAGTACAATGGGAAAAAATTTCCACACTTTATGGACACACACTTAAAATAGTATTGCCTGTAAAAGCACAATTAGAAATCCTGCCTCTGATGATTATTGCAGAAATTAATTTATGAATTGTTTTCTAGATTTCTCCTCTATTCATTTACAGTTACATTATTTAACATTACAAGTTGAGGTATATTGGCAAAAGTAGGTTTTTAATGTATTTTTAACCAACACATACACATACACACACACACACACACACACACACACACATCTGTAATTACATTTATATTGTGGGTTATGATTTATTAAAAAAAATGTGAATTTCTTCAATTTTCAAAAATCAGTTATTGAAACATTTCTACATATAATTTCAAGCTCTGGCAAAGATAACCACTCAGGTAGTCTAATTTCATGTGGAATATTCATTTATACAGTGGGACAAGGTAGTAGAGGGTTGGGGTAGGTAAGAAACATTTTTTAAGGATATTAATAGTTAATAATTTAATACACAATTGTTTACATGAGGAGTTTTTGGTTTTAAGTGCTTTGAGATTTGGTGCCCTGGTGCCTTTTCAAAGTCTTTTAGAACAATTGCACTTAGGCACTTAATCCTTCCATTGGTCAGTGTTAAGGAAAAAGAAATGGATTAAGCATCAGAAGATACCTAAATGTTTCGCTGAATGTACTCTTCCTTGTCTTTTAAGCACCCCCTCATTCATTGAGCTTTATTATTTTTTAACCATTTTTCGTGAATAATGGAGCTGGCCTCTGCTGCTGCTTTAGGGGCAAGACTGTATCCCAATCACCATGCTAGAAAATTGCCTGGTCCTATAGCAGACATTCCCACTGATGTAATGAATGAAGATTTCAATCAACTGAGCCCCCCCGAAGGAATCTGTTTATAAATTCCTTATTAAAGGACAATGTAATAGTTTTTTTTTTTTCCTTCAGACTGTCACTTACTTTTTAGACATGCTTAGCATACTGGATACTCTTTGTATCCTTTAGTAACAAATAGCATTTTTTTTTTTTTTAGCACCAATGATATACCAAGAATTCCCTTTGAAGGGGCTTTTACCTTAAGATTCCTTTCTGTGTTTGGGAGAGGCCCTATAGATGTGTTCTTGCAGTCATGCTGGTGGAAAATTTGAAGATTAGATACTATCATTATGACTGGTCAAGACCTCAGCCTCTACCATTCCAGCTTCCCCTCGATCATACTTCCCTTTATGCCAGGTACATTGGAGTGGCCACAGGTAATTTTAGGATATGGCAAAAGGACAGAGGGCAAATGGCAAAGGGACATGTGCTGAATACACGTTTAGTATGTGTGTATCAGGATGATATTTATTTGATTCACAATAACTTTTGTACATAGTTATTGTTGGCTATATCTGTGCTGACTCATGCTTGTCATGATAAAAAGAAATGTGCCCCATACTGCCTTGGCACTTCAAATATGATGAATGGCATAGATGGATGTTTGAAGATATGGAACAAAAAGATGATTTGTGGCGATTTTTTCAATGATCTGATGTATACAATTTTAGTGGAGATTTTGGTTTTCAGTGACGTCCAATCCAAACAGAAATTCTCTCCTGTCAAAAACACATTAAAATTTTTAGTACATGTAAGTGGACAATACATTTTAGTTTACCTTATTATTGTGAATGACATATTTGTAGAAGTGTAATATACCTTCTTAAGTGGAAAGATGTTTGGGAATATTGCAATAAAATAGGAAAAAATGATAGAACCTTTATTTGGACATATATGTTGTGTGCCTTCTTTCATCATTTTACAGTTACTAATAAAATAGGAAAATTTTCAGATAAAGTGAATGGAATATGAAACATAAGTCAGAATTATGTGAGTGGTGAAATTCCTAGAGAAGTGAAGTAATTGTCAAAAGAAAATACAGCTACTTGGTGGCAAAATTTTACTGGAACCCGAGTCTTCTGAGTCTAACTCCAATACCCTGTTCATTGTTTTATACAACAGATGAAAGGAATTCAGAGAGCTTGACAAACATCAAAGTGAATTAAACAGGGATTTATAGGAGATCTCAAGGAAAGCAAGTAAAAAGATCTGGTATTTATAATTTTAATTCAGGAAACATGACTAATGATATGCGTATAAAATCTTTTAAATCAAAACATAGTAAGTACAGGTTAAAGAGAGCATGCTAATGGGGGAAGAAATGGGCATTTGATACTAGGAAGTCATAAGCTGAGGTCCATGGAATTTGTAAGCTAACTGACAGTATGTTCAACCGTGAGAGCAATGACATACGTCAAATATCATTTAACAGACTTCAAATCTGCACTTAATAGCAAATGCGTAACCCATTTAGACCCAGATTTCTGCCTTTGATTTCTTAGGAGCATACAGACAAATATACTTTATAACATATATTGAGGTTCATGATTTACAACATGCACAAGGATGATATTACTCAAAACTCAGGGCAATGAGTGACAGAAAATTCCACATCTGTAAGCACAAGGGTAATATTGAGCAAGACGGAAATGATTAAGACAGAAAGAAAATGGGAAGGATGCAAAAAAGGGCTTGCACTAAAATTTATCCCCACTACATTTTCCTAAATTGTTTTTAAACCTATCTCTTTCTTTCCCTGTGTAACCCTGGGAACTTTTCCTCACTATCACGTTATTGAATATCTTTTCTACTGATATCTCACACAATTGAAACATTACCTTAATTTATTAGTTAGTTAGGGTCCTCATCAGATTTTAGGTGTGAATATATGATTAATGAAGCATAGAGCATAGTATTAATAATAAGAATATGAGACTTTATGTCAGACATTACTGAGTTTGAATCTTCTTTCCATCACTTGAATAGTTTATCATCTTGAAAAAATAAATAAGAAAGTGAAATCTCAGGAGCTTCTTTTGTAATATGAGGATAACAGTAACATTCTCTCACTACATTGTTGAGAGTACTAAACACAATTATAGTCCAGAGCTCTTGGTAAATCTTAAGATTTCTTATTCTTCATCATCATCATCAGCAACATCACTGCTGACAGCAATATTTGGACAAATGTCTGTCCTTTCAGAAGGAAGCATATATTGTCCACACTAACTCTATAGTTTTCCTAGATGATTCATTTGATTTGGCTTCATGCTCATTTTCAGATAATTTTTATAGTAATTTTCTTTATGTTTGAGTCATTTTTTGTTTAGTTTTCAATATAAAGCAAAGACGGAAGCATAGAGAAATGAGAGAATAGTGTGAAAATAGAGGTGAAAATGTATATATGATATATTGGTTTAATATATTAACCCTTGAGTTTGAACTTATTACTCTTATTTTATCTTTCAGGGCATCTGTCTGTCTCCCTCAAGTAATGTCTACAGACATCTAGGAAATTCAAGCCTGCCAGTCTTAATCTGACTATAGTAGTTGACAACATCATTTGATGAGAATGATGGAGGCAGAGGTGAGCTCAGGGGCTTGAGTAAATTGAGTATGTTTTGGAATAGCCTCTCTGGGAGATTGTATAGGGATTCAAGCATTAGTAAATAAAAGGATTATAGCGAAGCACTGTGTGAAGAGAGAAAGCATTTTCAATGGCCTCAGCCAAGTTACATGGTTTTCCATAACATACCTCAGCAACTCTTGTTTAGAGGTAAAGAACATAACATTTTTATTTAAAAGAGATGCTAACAAGTAGATAATTGAGAGATACCAGAGTAAAGTTTGTGCTTGTCAGAGGCTGAATTACTTGGCTTGTGCACTGATCTGTTTGTTTTCATTATATATAACAATTTGGGTGTTTCATGCAATGTAATGTGGTTACTGTTTTACACATTTAATTATTTTCTAATCCTGAAAACAATATATAGTTATTGTTTAAAAATAAATGTGAAAAAATTATTTAATATATTGTGTTTAATTTATTCAAAATAAGAAATTAGCAATTTGAGTTTTTGTAGGCATGTCTTTTATAAATAAATTAATGGAGAGAAGGAGATAGAGACAAAGAGACAAAGACTATATATATATATATATATATATAGTCTATCTATATTGTCTATATATATGTATCTCAAAGACTATATATATATATAGTCAAATATATATATATAGTCTATATATAGAGAGACAAATTTCAAGATATATATTGTCACTTAAATTTTATTTTCATATCTCTCTAAATAACATCTTTACTTCAGCCTCACTGGTTTTTTGTATTCAGTATGTCCTTGACCCAAAACCTTCATAGTTATAATTTATACATCCTATTATTATTAATCAAGGCTTTATATGAAATTTATTTTCGTTTTTTAATAAAAGTTTTATATTAGACTAGATTTAGGTTTGCAAAATATAGTGAAAATAGGAAAGCGTATTCTCATATACTCCTACATTCATGTTTCTCTATTATTAACATTTCACATTAGTACAGTACATTTCTCACAATTAATGAATCAATGTTGACACATCATTATTAACTAAACTTCTTACCTTATTTAGATTCCCTTAGTATTTACCTAATGTTATTTTTCTGTTCCAAGATCCCATCTAGAATACCATCTTTTGTTTAGTCATTATGTGTCCTTAGGCTTCTTGTGGCTGTGACAGTTTCTTGGACTTTTCATGCTTTTGATGATCTAGACAGTTTTGGGAAATACTGGTTAGGTTTTTTGTAGATTATTCCACAGCTAGGACTTGCCTGAATTTTTTTTCTGATTATTAGATTAAAGCTACAAGTTTTGGGGAGAAAAACAACAGAGGTAAAGTGCCACTCTCATTACATCATCCCAATGGTATATCAATGGCATATACCATCAACATGATTTATCACTGTTGGTGTAACTTCAGTTACCTGATTTTTCCACAGTAGGTCACTGTGGAATCTGAATTCCAATCTGAAGTGTGTTTGGAATCTGAAGTCTTTCAGATTCCAAATCTGAAGTTTCCAATCAGATTTGGATCTCTTTCCAATCTGAAGTCTTTAGACCAAAGGCAATATACATCATCCATGCTTAGAGAGTGGGGAGTTATACTCTAGCTCCTTGAGGAGGAAATATATACATAAATTATTTAAATTCTTTACATGTAAGATGTGTCTTTTTTCCTTTTTTTATTTGTTTATTCAAACATTTATTTATGTCTGCTTTGACCATTGGAAGTTTTGTCAAATGGAGGCTCTGTTTCTTTGACATCTCCCCCCATTATTGTGTATTTCATCACATACCTCTTTTCTGGCACTATCAGATGCTCCATACTCATCTTGTCTATTTTCTGCCACAGTGCTAAATTCAGCCATTTCTGCAAGAAATCCTGACTCCTTAATAAAAAATAGTGTTTGAAACCAAGTTCTGGGTACTAGGTATGTGCTATAGTTTGAATGTATGTGTCCCTAAAAAACTCAAATGTTGTAACTCTCATGTGATAGCAGTGATAGCATTAAGAGATGAGGCCTTTTGGAGGTGTTTACATCACAAGGTTAGAGCCCTCCTAAATGAGATTAGTGACCTTATAAAAGAAGTGTGAAGGAGTTGTTTTACTCATTTTTCTCTTCCATCCCTTCTGCCACCTGAGGACATGGCTTTCATCACCTAGGAAACCACAGATGTGGGCTGGTTGCCAGGGAACCAGCCAAGTGCCCAGAGGGTTGGAACATTCAGTCCCACCTGTCAACCTCGAGGGGGAGGAGAGGGACTGAAGGTCGAATTGATTGCCAATGACCAATGATTTAATCAGACATGCCTATGTTATGATGTCTCCATAAAAATCCAAAAGGATAAGGTTCAAAGAGTTTCCGGATAGCTGAACATGTGAATATTCCTGAAGAGTGGCTTGCTTATTCAGGGAGGGCATGGAAGCTCTTTACCCCTTCTCCCATATATCACCCTATGTATTTCTTCATCTGTATCTTCTGTAATATCCTTTTCAATAAGCCAGTAAACATATGTAAGTTTCCCTGATTTTGTGATTGACCCTAGAAATTAAATGAATCCAAAGTAGGGGTAGTGGGTACCCCAACTTGAATATATTTGTTTAAAAGTTCTAGAGGACCAGATTTACAACTGGTGTCTGAAGCAGGGAGTAGTCTTTTGGGACTAAGCCCCCAGTCTATAGATCTGAGGCTATCTCCAGGCAGACTATGCCAAACTTGAATTGAATTAGAGGATGCTCAGCTTGTGCCCACTTCTTGGTGTGTGGAGAAAATCCTCCACACACTTGGTCACAGAAGTCTTCTGTGTAGATTATTGTGATGTCAGAGCAGAGTAGAAACAGTTTGAAATTTTTCTCTTTCCAGTGAGAAATTAATTTCTGTTATTTATAAATTAACAAGTCTCATCAATTTTGTTATAGCAGCACAAATGGACTAAGACAATATGCATGCTGCTACTGGGATGTCTTTTCTCCTAGATCCTCATAGCTGAAGGAGGAAGGAAATACATGTGTGTGTACTAGTACATGTATGTCTATATCTGTATCTATCTTTATCCATGTCTATCTGTATCTATATAAAGCTAAACATAAGTCCATAATGGTGTCTCTAGGTATAATCCTTTACATCTGGATCCTTCTATCTTCTTGACTTGCTTGTCTCTAAACTCCTGTTCCAACAGTGACAAACCTGGCTTCACCATAGGCTATCTATTTACTTCATTGTTCAATTCTAGTATGCATGTATAGTGGTTTCAGAATTATTTATCCTTATACCAATGGAAAACAACTTTGTCAACTAGAGCATGGTATTAAACTCAGTTCAATAGTTCTTTTTGCCCTCAGTCTTATAGACTATTTATTTCCAAACTTGCTATTAGGATATTTCTTCTCTGTAGCCTTCAGTGATATTATTTTGTACATTCATAAGACAATTTTATTCTTTTGCTATAGATTACATTCTACCTTGGGTACCCTAATCTTCTAAATGCTGTTTTTACATTTACATACATTAAAGTTCACTCTTTGTTCTGTTTGTTTAGCATGTTCTTATGTCCCTCTTTATCCTTTACAAGCTTCCTTGCTCTGAAGTCAGCTTTGTCAGTAGTTAATATAACTACATTAACTTTCTTTTGATTAGTGTTGTATTGTATATCTTTCTGATCCCTTTACTTTTAACCTATCTGTGGCTTTATACTTGATGTAGATTTCTTCAAGACAAAATATAATTCGATCTTGTTTTCTTTAATCGACTCTGTCAATCTGCATTTCTAAAATTTGTATATTTGGACCATTTACATTTAAAATGATTGCTAATATAATTTTATTAGTATCTACCATATTTATAACTATGTTCTATTCATTGAAATTGTTCTTTGTTTCTTTTCCCCCTCTTTCTCCGTCTTCTCTCATTTTAATTGAGCATTTTAAGTGATTTTATTTTGTGTACTATCTTTCTGTACATACTTTTAAAATATTTTTAGTAGTTGCTTTAAAGTTTGCAATACATATTTTTAGCTGATCTATGTCCACATACTAATAACATTATATTCCTTTATGTTTACTTCAGATACCTTATGATAGAATATTCTCCACTCTTTTCTCCTCTCCTGTGACATTGCTGACATTCATTTCATTTATCCATATAACACTGTCATCCAATACATTGTAACCATTATTGCTTTAAACAAATAATTATCTTTTAAATAAATTAAAAACAGGAATATATATTTTATCTTCATCTATTCCTTCTCTGATTCTCTACCCTTCTTTGTGTAGATCCATGTTTCTAACCTATTCTATTTTTCTCCATCCTAAGGAATTTCTTTTAACCTTTCTTGCAGAACAGAACAGATGATAATGAATTTAGTCTTTACCTGAGAAAATCTTTACTTCTTCACTTTTAAGGCCTAATTGATAAAGAATTCTACTTTTTTTCATCCTTTAATTATTTCACTTCATTCTCTGCTCCCTTGCATAGTTTCTATATTTTCTGTTGAGAAGACTGCTGTAATCCAGACCCTTGTTCCTCTATAAGTAAATTTTTTTTTCCTTCTGGCATTTTTCAAGATAATTTTTGTCTTTGGTTTTCTGTAGTTTGACTAATGTATGGTGAATTACAGTTATTTGGTTATTTTGTATATTCACCTTGGTTATTATTTTCTGAACTTCCTTTGTGGTTTAGTGTCTCTCATTTGTATAGGAAAATTCAGGCAATTATTACACGAAATGTTTCTTCAGATCTGTTCTATCTTCTCCTTCTGGTGTTCCACAATTAGGTATATTTTACACCTTTTGAAATTTCCCCACAATTCTTCAATATTCTGCTCTGGTTTTTCTTTTGTTTCATTTTTCTTTTTTTCACATTGTATTTATGCTTTGGAAGTTTCTATTGCATTATCTTCAAGCTACTATAGCTATGTGGATTCTAACAATGATACTATGCAAGGCTTTCTTCATTTCTGTTACAATGTTTGTGATTTCTATAATTTATTTTAGATTCTTAGAGGTTTCATCTCTCTGTTTCCATAACCCTTCCCCTAGCTCTGGCAATGTCTTATACCTGGAGAGTAGGTTTTGTTATAGAGAAGATTCTAGGTGCATTTCACAATGATTACTCTAACAATCTCTCTTTCTCCCCCAAGCCAGAGGCATGGAGAGAATTTTCTTGATTTTCCATCATAAGAACCTGAGAGGTTCCTAAGGTAAAACTCACCAAAATGTGCCCTTACCCCTGAAGACTGCAATTCCTAGAACTTTATCACTCTCACATCAGTCCTCATTCTACCACCGACAATTCATCAAAACTACTATTTAAGCATTCTTACCAGTTCACAGTTCCAGTGGTTTCTATTTTAGGTAAGTAGATCCTGCTTCTCTCTCTCTGGATATGCTTGTCTTTCTGCATTGCAGTGTGGTGATTTGTCCTTTGACCTCAGTTCTCTAATGAATCTATGAAAAGTTGTGATTTTTTTTCAGTTTGTCTATATGATTCTTCTTGTAAATACAGGCAACAATAATCAAGCTCTTTAAAACTCAGAGCTGAAAACAGAAGTCATACTTAAATTTTTAACACAACTTTAGAATATTTTCTGTCACTTCTACAGTTAATCAGAAAGTATATTTCCCCCCCAAAAAGGAATCTTAGCATTTGTGACAGATATAAAATTATTGCTCCTTAATTCTAATTCACCCTCTCATCCCTGCTTTGTGACACTGAAGCTGGACCCTGTGAACTTTGTTTCCGTTGCTAGCTCACAAAATTTAGCCTTCTCAGTAGAGGGCACTGGAGGAACACTACAAGGGGGAGGAGTGTCCCTGTTTCGGAGAGTGTTTTTTCTGGCTTCTCTGGTTTGGAGGCAGGTGGGTGCTTTTTGGCCAACACTGTGCATGAAACCTAGCGACACTCACCCTCCAGCAAATATTGGCAACTTCTCTACCAAGTTTCAAAAGCTAGTCTTGCCAGCATCCCAGAAAGTCATTTATTCAATGAGTTGTGGCTCTACCCCAGCAAATAGTTTCACAGTCAGCAGTCCCTGCCTGTGGCACCTCATTAAACTTCATTCACTAAGCCATAGCCACCTACACCCCTCCACGGTGGTAGAATTTGCAAACTTAGGGAATGCTTCTTCAAAAATTATTCCTCTCTTGAGTACCCTTCCTCAGCCCTAAAGATAGTGGCTGCTCTCTGCATCTGCTCCTCATGTATTTTTTTTTAGGTTTTTTTAATCCCACTTAAGGTTTGATCTTTTTTTCCCCACATACTGCTTTAATAAAAATACAATATTCCAATTACCAGTGTGGTTTCTGTCACCAGACCCTACCCTTAGTGATTCAGCATCCTTTCACCCCCCATAATTATTATATTCAAATCATTTAAAGTTGCAGATGCTGATCATTATTTAATCCTATATCAAAAGCTATTCAAATGTGCATGTTATTTGAAAGTTCTTTAAATAGTTTGCTTTATAATTTCCACAAGTTCCCCTCCTGATATTTTTTTTTTCTGATTTTGAGACTTCTTAGTGGATTATTAAAACAAAATTTAAATCTCTCATGTTTATTTTTCTCAGACATATTTGAGCTCTGGTTTTAAAACTCTCATTTATTTGTACATGCAATTATCTTTCTTGTGTAATAACTATCAAAATTTCTATGAATCTACATTTTTTTCAAATACAATCTTTTCTACCATTAGAACTTAGGGAAATAGGAAAGATTCACTTTTGGATTTATGACCCACTCTCCACTGTAGTTATATAGCTCTAGTACTTTTTATAATACCATACCACACATATTTTCACAAACACCTAAAATTGAATAGAATCTGCTCTGCTATAATATGCATTATGACATATAATCTATTCTCTGTTTGGGACTAGAGAGGTGGCAGAGTTGAATTCTCTAAGGGGAATTCTGTTAGGAAGAGGATGGATTAATTAACAAATTAAGTAGAATCTTTATTTTAATTTGTTTTATTTAGAAATAGGGTCTTGCTCTGTTGCCAAGGCTGGAGATCAGTGGTGTGATAATTGTTCACTGCCTTAATCTCCGGGGCTCAAGAGATCCTCTTGCCAAAGCCAGAGTAGCTAGGACTATAGGGATGTGCCATCATACCTGGGCAATTCTTTTTTTAAAATTTTTTGTAGAGATGGTTTCTTGCTTTGTTACCAAGGCTGATCTTGAACTCCAGGCTTCAAAAGAGGCTGCCTTGACCTCCCAAAGTGCTGGGATTGCAGGCATGAGCCATCATGTCCAACAAGAACCTTTAAAATATTACCCCAATCTGAAGATGTTATTGGTTCAGATATATTTCAACACCTACGTTTAACCACTTCGGTATGGCGCTCACTGGCCCCGAAACCTTGCCCACAGCCGGCACTCATAGTCCGCTTGATAGTTTGTGTTGTGCATTGATGACGAATCCGTTTTGTTCTTGTGTGATGAGGAAAGCTTTAACGCACTGAAAGCCTGTTTTACTTTACAGGCAGCTTTACTTGTAATGTAAATCAGAATGTATATGTAACATATACATATATGTTTTTAATACATTATTTTTAAATGTTCACAATTTTATTTTGATAAATGAAAAATTGGGAAAGTCATATCACAGCTATCGGCTAAAGTCAACACTCGGCTGTGCGCCTTCATATCACGGCTGTTGGCAAAATCGCTGTGTTCGTTCATCTGTGGCTATCAACTATAGTGGACACTGGTACCGAAGTGGTTTTAAGCATGCATTATACATTAGCTATATTTGTTTATAAGCAGGCAGAGCAGAAACTGCTGGTTATCATTCAATATCCATTCTCCCCCTTTGCTCTTTAGCAATGAAATGCTCACATTTTTTACTAAGTCCAGGGTTGCTAGGGCAAAGACTCTATCTCCATTCTTCCCTTGTAGCTTATGAGCTATGTGACTAATTTCTGGCCAGTGTGATGTGAGGAGAAGGAACATTTACAACTATCAGATTATGTTCTTAAAGGGAAAAGAGGTGATTTTCATTTCTTATTTCCTTCCAACTGGATGGAATATAGATTTGATGGTAGGACCTGGCCTTATGATATTGATGGAGGCCACCTTTTAAGGATGGCAAAACAACAAGCCAGAATCTGGAAACTAAAACCAGCTGGTATTAGGATGGCTAAGCCTGGATGACTGCTTGCAAAGAGATTACCAAAAAAAAAGAAAGAAAGAAAATAAAAGGTCTATCTGCTTTAGCCCACTTTTATTTTCATCTTTATTTCAGCAATTGAACCACCAGTGTCTGAAATAATAGATAAGGCACATTTAAATAAAATGTATTTGATGTTAAAATATATGAGCATTTTTCACATAACTTAAATATAGCATCTCAAAATATTTAACATTATATTAACATAAGGTATTATCACTATATTAATAGTAATCATTTTTAGATTGAATATTGATTTATAGTATATGCATTTATACATAAAATGACCACAACTTCTGGGTGATAGGGAACAAAAGCAACAACAGCAAAGTTAGTTCCTTCTGGATAAAGCTTATTTGTACTTAATGTTTGATACTGTATATTTAATTCTGTCTCCTTAAGTTGTAGGGTTAGTCTTTTGGGGTTTTCTCATATTCCACTATCAGATGACAACAGAATTGTGAGGAAGGTACCTTACATAATCACATGGCTTTGATGGGTGGGGAGGGGACACCTGTGATCATCCTTATCCTTATTTTTGTGCTAGATGATGTCTGTTCATGTAGAAATGGTCTACTCCTGCCACTAGGCATGCTTATGTTTTCTGCTGTTTATATCTCTGATTAATTAATTTGTATAATTTCTTAGCTCTGTCAGAGTCTAGTGGTCCCTTCTCACTAGTTTAGCCTCCACGAGGCCTTTATGATGTTACCAACACTCTGATTATCACACATGTCCTTCATCCTGCTCCTGTCCATTCATCGAATGGTGTATACAGTGTTCACAGTGTGAAGTCACCAGATTCCTGTAGAGAAACCACCATGTCTGACCTGCTGGCTCTTAACACAGCACCTTTACATACAAAAAATGATTCAAACTTGGAAGTGAAAATTAGATTTTTCTCTATCTGACCAAGTTGCTTTGTTTTCTTAAGTTTTTTGCTGCCTCTTAGTTGACCTCAGGGAAACCTTGTATTGGTTCCTTCCAGAATATAACCAAACTTTTAAACAATCTTCCCCTGTCCTCAGTGATTCTTTCAACTTATCCAAATAACCTTCTCCACAATTTGAGAAGTTAACCCCCAGGTTGGAGATATAGTGATGATTGTCTATATCTTCTAACCCAATTCTATCTATCCTTCCTCTATCTCCTTTCTTTTCCTCACAACTCCTCGTGTTTGAAGATATCAAGGTCCTTTTCTCTCAAATTTCAGTCATCTAGCTAGCTAAATTGTCACCATATTTTCTCAAAGGACAACCTTTGCCTTCGAAATGTTTAACCTAAGTCAAAAGTATGTGCTTAAAGTCTTTTTGTTCCCTTGATGGTGCCTAACATTTCAGTCCATTGCCTTGTTGATATTTTTATTAACCCAAATGGATTAGTACCTTTCTTCCTTTTTATCTCATTTCTAACAATTCTAATTACTATCTCTTTGAATAAATGTTTATATTTTAATGATATATTCCCATTGCATTTGTATATGAGGGTGAGCTCCATTGACAACTAAATGCCAGAGTTCAATATTTAAGGTGACTACTCAGCAACATAAGTTATTTTGTCAGAATGAAAAAAGAGAGATTTAATGACAGATTCAAAACATTTAACAACCCAGATGGGAAGTTTTTAGCTAGCATGTGTTTAAACCTTTCCTTTATCATAGTTTCATCCATTCCCCGACTGCCTTCTTTGATATCCAGTAAGAACCACTTTCAAAAAGGCAAAAAAGTCTTATTTTTTTTGAGATTTCAAGATTGCAGCAATATTGACAGCTAATAGGTATGTGAACTATCCATTAGTCTCTGAAGACATAATTATTAGAGAATAGACTCCAAAGTGCTGATGATTTTATCTGTTCTATATTTTGAACTTATTCAACTTGGCTAAATGTCTTTCTCTTCTATCAGTTACCAAGACAAGTCCTCAGTGATCTGTAAAATATAGCATTAGATTTGGTATTGTCTTGCTGTGAAAATTAGATCATGTATACATACTATTAATGTACTGCGATTGCAGAATTGTCTTAAAACTTAGTAGTTCTTTATAAAAATATGACATAAAGGGACTTCAGAAAACTAACCATAAAAATTACTGAAATTTTGAAGTTAGTTCTGATATGTAATACCTGTGTCTTGCTACACAATGAGAGATAAAAGATGTAGACTAATTTTCTGAGTAATTATAACTAAAGGAATACATTCTCCATTAGAGGTAATTATGATAATGGAGTTTCAGGAGCTTTGGGTAATCTTAAAGTTTCTTTAAAAAGGAAATATTTTTCCTACAAATTTTATCTACAACATATTTGGAGCTTAGCACATTTGCTTTTCACAATAGACAATGATAATGTTACGGATATAGACCTACTAAGTAAAGAAAATTCAGGAAAGAACAGACATAAACCCAAGAAGGAGAAAGGTGGGGACAAAAACTTGACAGTGATTTCAAAAGTGGGAAACAATTTGTGATGATGTTTCATAAACTGGAGCTGGTCTATACTGAAAGTTGTGGTGGGCCACCAAGTATAAGAAACCATGGAGTAGGCATATATCTTCCCAGAAATTATTCAAAGACTCGAGGAGAAGGATGTGTTTAAAAATTTTAAACAGATATGGATACTTTTGACATAAAATGTAAAGTTAAGACATATTAAAATTTCAGAGGAATATTTCAAGACATTAAAGCTTTATGATCCAGTCTATATTCCACAAATCCTTCTATGCCGAAAATTTCACTTTATTTCTCTGCTAGGAATCCTTTATTGGAAAAGTTTCAAAGCCAGGGCTTCAGGATTGGAATTAAAACCATGATTATCACAAAAAGAAAAAAGAGAATAACATTCACCATAGCAAAAGAAAGGTAAAAATATGTAGGAATTAATATGAAAAGAGATGCACTGAATTTATTCATCATTCAGGGTTCAATCATAGAAGCAGAACCATAGAAGTGTTGTAGAAACAGGATTCATGATAGAGAATGATGTTTTTGCAGTGATGGGAACTAATGGAGATACTTATGCAAGGCTACTGTCTTTGCCTAGATGGGGACCTGACATTACCTTGTGTCTGTCAGATCGGCAGTCAAGAAAGAAACTTAGACCTGGGTGAGGATGAACTGGGATCCACAATAAAAACTGGAACCCACAAAGACAAACTAGAACCTATGTCTGTCTAACTACCTCCAAACTTCACGTTGGGGATAGCATCCAGGAAGGGGTGACACTTTTCACCGCAGAGTGGCACAAGTTCATGTCAGCATTTCTGTCCCCAGCAAATGATTTGACAAGAACAAGGAAAGATTCAGTCTTGGAGAAACGTATTTTACTTCAGAGATTTTCAAGTCAAGAAAAGACAGGCCTATAGTTAAGGTAGGAATGTACTCACTTCTGGGATCCAGGACAGCAGTTTCAACATTGGAACAGAGTAGGACTACAATCAGGGTACAACCAAGTTTCAATGAATTATGGAAAAAATCATTTTTCCAACTCATTTGAACTGTGGACAATATCTTCTGTTTAAAGACTAAATCTATTCTTTTTTACTTCAGAATATTTTAGTAACCCTGTGGAGGTACTCAAATACAGTTAATATAGGGAATGAAGAGCCAGAGGACGGGGATTGAGAATAATGAACAATTCCTGAAAAACAAATGAAAAAGAACAAATAAATTAAGAAAAGAAGGGAAAATAAAGAAAAAAAAAAGAAGGAAAAAATTTCTATCAAAACTTCAGAGAAATGCATTATAAAAGTTAATTTCATCATTTTGATAAATTCATGGAACAATATTTATTATTTTTAATTTTATAAATGAGTAATTAGAAATTCAGAGAATTAAATAATTGGCCCCCAAAATATAGTAAACACTAGAGCAGAAAATCAAATTCAGATTTATCTCATTCCATTAGGAATTTCCACTCTACTATCCTTACTCATGAATCCAAGCAGATAATTACAAGATGATCCCTCTTGACAGCTTTTGATTGTGGCAATTTTTCTAAACTACTGTGGTTGGCTTCAAAATTCTGCTTAGGTTCGAAGTTGCAGATCCAGTAAAACTAAGTGTTATTTGCCAGCTTGGATCATTTTAGGATTACTGAACGGCAAAATAATATAAAATATAAATTTTTGTAGTTATATTTACGCTTCATAAGTTATTTTAACTATGGCCTATTAGTGGAATTAGTCTATTAAATGGGTACTTGTTCTTCCATCTATGGTTTTAAACAAAATTTGTTGAGTTTCTTTTTCCAGTGCTTGATAGTATTTAAGGAAGATCCCAGCACTTTCTTGCCACTTTTGAATATTAGAATCATATTAATTTGGGACCATACAATATTCATTTGGCCTACACCTCTACATCACATCCAATTAGAAGTCTCACCCCTTTCCCCACTTAAGCCTCATGTTGCCTCAGTGTATCAGAGGCCCACAGGGGACGAGTGTGAGGGGATGAGTTTCAGGGTCTCTTCCTTCCTTCTTCTTGCTCCAATCACTCCCTCCCCCCACCCATGGCAGGCTGTGTATACTCTTGCTCATTATGCTAAAAATTTGTAAGGAGTGGTAAAAAGGCTAAATAAATAAATAAACGAAAACTCCTTCAGCTGGCACTGCAATGATTACATGTAATGTTTCATGGTAGATGTAAAAATAATGGGTATTTTCGTATAAGAGTCGGGGATATTGGCTATATCCCTGAAATTCCAGGGAGCACTTGCAAACTGGGGACTGTGCATGTCAACATTAGGCAGGCAGACAGCTGAAGAGAGCATTTTTGTTTGGCCCTCCTGGCAAGCATCCACCCTCTCTTCAAGAAGTTTCATTGAAGCCTTCCTTACCTGGTTTGAGAAGGGAATAATAAAGCCACTCCACTCCCTGTCTAATCAACACTCATGCTCTTCAAAATGAACTTCATTTTTCCCTGATAAATCTATAACCTGAAAATGCAAATAGAAAGTGAGCATTGAACAAAAGGCATCAAATGGTATTGCGCTTTCTTAGTGGATCCTACAGACGTGTCTAATTCCATGCTCCAAAACGTGGTGGTACTTTAAAGCAATCTGTTTCAGCTTTGGATATTAACCAAAAAGCTAAGACAGCAGACAATCCCGTTTAACATCCTGACACCAAAGTACTCACCTTTGGGAATATTTGGGGAGACTATGCCATAAGTATCTATTACTACATTATAGAGATATGATTTCCCCTGTTGGTTAATCACATGCAGATAAGATATCTCACCTAATATAAAAAGGACTAGCTTTTTTTGTTTTAGGTAAACAAATAAGCAGCATTATCTTGATAACCAGAAATTAGATGAAAATTATATATTTTTGCGTATGTAACTGTGCCTCAAAAATAATCTCTAGTACTAGATTCTTAACTGTTCACAAAGCATTTCCAGATTGTTTTTGGAATTCTATAGTTCGTTATAAAAATACTGGCAGAATCTTAATTATAATAGTGCTACTGGGCACCATTAACCTCTTTCAGATACATTCCTGCTAAAAAGAAAAAGAAAAAAGGTAACTGCCAGGCATCAGTTTGTTAAATAAAGACAGGTGTTGCCAAGTCCCGGCTGGCTTGCCATCTACAAAAGAATCATTCTTTTGAAGCAGTCAAGGAGAAAGAGAGAGAAGTGGAAGATCAGCCAGGTCAATTGTGGACCTGCTGAATGTTGTTCAAAAACAAAGGTGGCTTGTCATGGGTTGAATGTGGAAGGGCACTATGGACAGCCCAGGGTGGGAGCAGAACTTACTGCTGGTCCCTAACAAGGAGTTTTGCATGTGATTTTTATGCTTTTGGTTAAGAAAGAAGTGGGCAGAATTAAATGTCTGCTTTTAAGAGGTATGCATGTTCACACATACACGCATCCAGTTTCTCTCTTCTACTTCTCCAAAGCTGTTGGAAGAATGCATTTTGCTGGGTTTAAGATGCCATCAGATGCTATAGTTTCAAATGTCAAACCTGCCCACAAGCAAAAATGAATTGAGGTTTTCATTTCTTCACTTTCAAAATCCTGATTTTAAGTATCAACTAAGAAATGTCTGTTCTGCCTTTTGGATGTAGGAAATATCCAGATTAAACATCACTAGGCTTCAAAATACCCCTAAATGTATCCATGACCCAAATGTTTGTCATGTTTCTGTCTCGATAATCATTCACAGGGGAGGGAAAAAAACATTTACAAGGACAAGAAGTGTACACTAAAAGAAAATGTTGCTGTCAATTGTTTTGCCTTTATTAAGTCAATCTTATAAGAGTAAATGATAGCAGGGTAAAGCTAGATGCAAAGAGATGCTACAGGCTAATTTTTCTCTGGGAATTCCTTTCACAAAGCCTTTCTGGAACTCTAACCTCTACCCCAGTGAGATTGCCATGCATGAAGTCAATTCTAGCCACTAGAGTGACTACCTACAACATACATATACATTGTACTCTGAAAAATAGGTGGCATGCTTGTTCTGTCTTACTTTCTTTCATATTCCCATTCCTCTCTGGAGATCAAGTTATGCAACTGGGCTTCTGCGTGACAGTGTGTGCAAGCACGCTGTGGCCATGTGTGAATTGACACTTTGACTCTGGAAGAAGAAATATAGACCTGCCTGTTGTGAATATTTTCTGACCATTTACTTCCTAGTCAACTGAGGAAAAGGAGGTAAAAGGCAAGAAACTGTTGTCCTAAATTAGTACAATAAGAAAAAAATGTACACAATGAATTCAATCTGGAATACATTCTTAAGTTCAGGACCATCAGATAGTGGAAATGCATGCCAAATCAAAGTACCCAAGGGGAACAATTGCTGATAAAGGTATAGACAGCTAAATGCACTCTGTCCTTGATACAGGAAATTAGCCCAGATTAAACAAAGAACTTCTAAGTCAATCCTCCTTGGTTAAACTACCAAGAACCGGCCTTTCTCTGTACTTAAGTGCATAAGATCAGAGTCTGGTGCCTGGTATGTGTGTATGTTTGTATTTATGGAAGAAACTGGCTGTGAACCAGGAAATTTCTCCTGCTTCAAATATTCTCCTTTCAAACACAATCAAACTGTCAGCATTGGTTGGCACAATCAAACTATTGGCATTGGTTTGGTACATCTCTCAGATGTTTTTCTTCTCAATATACCAAGAGAATCACATATCACAAACATGAACCTTCAGACCTGAGTCATTAAGCCTCTTTTGATCAGCAGCTTATGGACCTGATGCCTGTTTTGAGTTAATCTCTCTATGTTGATGTAAATTGCAAATGAACAATTGGATGATATGAAATTTTCTTTTGTACCGTTCGTTGGGCTAAAAATAGAGAAGAAATTACTATTTATAACTTAAAATTATCTTAATTATATCTAGGGACATACAGTCTGTTTTACTTTTCTTTCTGATGTATTCATTTAAAAAATTAACATTTGGTTAAATATTTAAAGTATGTTTTTTGATATAGATGATAAAATAGCAATCTCTTAATTTTACATTCTGCTGAATACATACATACAGGCCTTTTGTATGTATGTGTCTATGTGTGCTAATGTTCTCCACAGTCCTTTGGGCATTGAATATATCTCCCTTGAAATCTCTTCCCTTCTTCCATCTTCTTCCTACTAACTTTCCTATATGTGCTATATGGAGCCAGAAAAATAGTATCCTTGTTTTGCCATCTCAAGGAAGTTCAATGCTAGATCCCTTATCTTCTAACTAGAACTATGAAATCACTAGGATATAAATCAACTAAGAAATAGTAGAAAACAAAAGAAGAAAGGAAAACAGATAAATAAAGAGGGAAGATAGAAACTTTGTGTTGGTGAAACACCATATTGATCATTATTTTCAAAAACCTATTTTCAAGGTAAAATAACTTCTAAATATAAAATTTGCATGTATGACATGATCTTTAAGAAGAGGTAGCTCAATGAGGTTGCGCATTCCCATTTTATTAGCCCTGCTATGTGTCTGGCAGTGAACTAATACTTTTGTGTACTTTCTCTCTTTGATAGGGACTGGGATTATACATATGATGGGCACATGCCCTTTTGTAAGCCTGCGTGCATATCTGAGGAAAAACAATTACCAAGAGGCTGTAATGTTAGTTGAATTTTCCAGTTAAATTAGGAATAATGAAAAAGCACTTTCTATTAAACATTTTATATTGATGTATAAGTTGTTTCTTATACAGTGACGGTCCATTCTAGTGATCATAGCAATCTGTCTTTATGATAACCATGTTCCAGGAAGTGACACAGTCTCATTCTACAGATCATTCTTATATGCCCTGCATGTGGCACAGCTGTAACAGGTCCACATAGTATTCTGAGTGTTCCTGACTCAAGAATTTTAAGAAACTTATCTAAAGTCAAACAGACAGTAAGAGATATATCTTTAAAAGAACCAAAGTCTTTAGTGTTCCAGACCAAGTTTTGTCTTTGTCTCAAAATGGATGCTTAAACCTGATAAATTGCCTAAAGATAATTTCTAGGAAAGAGCATAAATAAATCTGAAGATCTCCAGAAACTTTGTACACTTTGTAGGAGATAAACTTTCCTTTCCCCTCATATCAGTGGGGCCCTCTGTCTTTGCAGGAGCCTCAGTACAATGGTAGTACAGACACTGCCAGAGTTATAATGGTTCAGCTTAGAATTTTTTAACTTTATGATAGCACTAAAGCAATATGCATTCAGAGACTGTACTTCAAGTACCCCTACAGCCATTCTATTTTTCACTTCCAGTATAATATGCAATAAATTACACGACTCAATACTTTATTTTATTGTAAGATAGGCTTTATGTTAGATGATTTACCCAACTGTAGGCTAATGAAATTGCTCTGAGCACATTTAAGTTAGGCTGTTTTAAACTATAATCTTCAGGTGGTTAGGCATACCATATTTTCAATTAACAATGGGTTTATCGGTATATAATCCCATTTTAAGTCTAGGAGCATCTGTACACAGCAGAGCTGTGCCTGAATTCTCATCTTGGCATGCATTTCCAATGTTGGACCTAGCTAAAGAGGATGAGGTCAGAGCTTCTGGAAAAGTTTTACAGAACATTGTCAACAGCTCTGTGATTTTGCCCTAGAATATAGCAATTCTAGAATTTTTAAATGTACAGAGTTTTTTTTTATTTTTCTCCTGTTCACCTATTATTGCTTTATGGCTGTAAGTGGCAGACAAAATCTAGGTATTACTCTGGGAAAATGTATCTCTTAATATCTTACCATGGAGAAAGCCCTCTTTCAGGAGAATTATATATTTGATGAGATAATTTTCTTGGCATGTACACTTGATGTTACATCATCAATGTATAATGCTGAAAATAATTGAAATATATGAACTTTTAAAATTTAATTATTATGGATTCATAATAGTTGTATATATTTATAGGATACATGTGATGTTTTGATACAGACATGCAATATATGCTAATCAAATAGGGGTAATTGGGCTTCCCATCACCTCAAGCATTTATCATTTGTGTTAGGAACATTCCAATTTCAGAGAGGCTAAAGTGGAGATGGTTAACGGGTACAAAAATGTAGTTAGACAGATAGGATGTACAATATTTGATATCACTACAAAGTGACTATAATCAACAATAAATCAGGGTTTATTTGAAATATCTGAATTTTAAAATACATTGTTGAACGTAATATTGGAGTGATTAGGTCTGGGAAGCAAGACAGGCCAAATTAGTGGTATACACGTTCTTTAATTATGAATATTCCAGATGATGGAAATTAAAAGGCCTGAATAATGTAAAAACTTACCTGCCTCATTAGTGGCGGCAATCTGCAGGTATGGTCATGCTTCAATAGGTAACAGGTCCCAAATTATTATCAACAGGAAACTTCCAAAATTTGTCTCTGTTTCTAATATACCCTCAAAAAATAGTAGAGTCTAGACTCTTCTGAAAAAGAGGGGAAAGAGAGGGTGTGTGTGTGTTTTCTCTCTTATCTAACTCTTTTCCTTTATTTCATCTTTACTTGGCAGGCTGTAGAAATCTAGCCCAGTTCTCATGCCCTGAGGTCATACAGTTAAATGGCACTGGGAACAGGCAGGTCTGTTTCATCACAATTGACATAACCACATCCTCAAAGTTTGAAATTAGTGCAGCTGAAAATATGGTGAGAAACGAATCACATCCAGATGACATTTTGCAAGTCCTCCCCAATCTGGTACAATCTTGTGGTTGTTTCCTTTCTGTTTCCTTTAGAGCATGCTATGGTTTATGAACTTGAATGGAATCTGCTAGCAGTTCCCCCGGCTAAGGACATAGCACATAATTTCCATAGGGTGTGGAGATTTTCTGATTAAAGTTTTGCATCACCGTGTCAATCTCTTCACTATTTTCTTGTTTCTGCTATCATATTACAATTAATCAGCCAGGGATTACAATTTCAAATTAAATCTGACATATACGCATTGCTATTTTCCATGCCTTTTTGTAAGACACTGTTGCTAAATGGTGTCATGTTCTAAAATGTCTCAAAATAGCTTTCCAGTATTCTAACACACCCACACACACAGACATACAAATCACCTTTCATATATCTTTCTAAGTGCAACACTCATTTTAGAATATTACACCATTTAGCAACAGCTGATAGTGGTTCTGAAATGTTAAAACCCTTTATGTTGATCCTTGTCCTCACATAGAATGTAACTTACACTCTATCTACTTTAGCATCAATAGCTTCATTTTTATAACTGCATGTGGAACAACAAAAGTGATGATTTATTCCACATTTCTCTCCAATTAGTACCCACGAGCAAATGAGAGTTAAAATACTGCTTTATAAAAATTTTTCCTCTCTTTCTTAAATCAGGTTGTAGTATTTATATCTATGGTTTGGAACTTCTCTATTGCTACAAGAATTGTAACTAAAGGCTTTCATTCCAGGAAGAAAATAAACACTTTGGTCTGATAATATTCTGAGGTTCTATAAATGCTTTTATTTAACTAATTGAGACTTTTAGAAACTACTGTAGATCTGTCTGTTACTGTATCACACAGTGCTATAATGATCTCTGGATAATTGTAATTATTTATAATTATAATTATTATTAATAATGATATATAATATATATTATCACAGTAATAATTATTATTATTTTGTAGCTGGAACCATCAGTGGGTGCCCACATAGCATGGGTTACTGTTTAAACCTACGTATGCAGCTGTGAGCAACTGGCTATTTATCTTCCAGTGTACATTCTCTGCAGTGGTCTACTTATTTCTGCACTTGTACTCTTACAACCTAAAAAAAAAAAAGCTGATTTTTTTTTCTTTATTCTTTAACTCCTCAAACACTGCAATTTATTAACTTTAAGGTAATGTGCTTAAAATGTAAATCTAGATACTCCAGCCTGGGAGGTTTACTATTCTGTTGATAGCAACAGGATATTAAATAATATGATGTCTACAGATAAAGATCATTAGGCAAAACTTTTGTAGCTACTAGATCAGTTTGCAAATAAACATAGCTCTCGAAAGAAAAGAATTTTAATTTCAATTATATGTGGAAGATAAGATTTTTGTAGTATTAGAGCTTTTGCATTCTGAGTACATTTTTGCAGTTTGTTTTTTTAAAGGCCTCTAGAAAAACAATTTAGTTAGATTGTCTCTAGATTTGGGGAGATAAAGTAGTAAATTATCATTAGTAATAAAACATTGGTTGTGATGATATCTAACATCAAAGATCATTTTACTTAGAGCTGCTTTAAATGTCTTTTTAATTCCAGGGACTAGAGTAGCAGTCACAGAATCTTAAGCAAGAATAGATCATCTATGGAAACAATAATTTTTACAGAAGTACAAGGTGAGCTTTAAGATATGCTTTTCTTTATATGTGATGTATCCTCATCAGTTTTTATCTCAACATATTCTGAGGTAAAACTACCCAAATTGTGATTCAGAGATCACTGTCCATTTGTAGATTGTTTGTTGTATAACTCCTAAGAGACAAATGTAGAAATTAAGAGTGAGTGCTTCAAAAAATAAGAACAATTTGACATTCCTATCACATTCAAGTATATGATAAGGGGGCTTGCATTTTTCATTCTTTTTTTCACATTTAAGTTTTCTAACAATTTATTATATAGTGTGGTATTTTACAAAACTACAATATAGTCTATGATGGATTGGAGACTTTTTAAAAAATATTTTTTCAGCAGATATAATTGGAGAGGCATTACTCTAGGGGCTTCCTAGAGTAATTCTATCTAATTCTTCCTAATTTCTATGACTTGTCTATTTTTTTTTTTTTACTCTATACACTTTAAAGATCCCCAGTGCAACTTTATGTAGTGGGTAAGTACCATTGTTCAAGTGAAATTTTATACATATACAGACAAAAGAGCCTTCAGCTATTTTCTTACATTGGGGTGTATTTAAAATTTGAAGGAACATGAACACCTTTTTTGTTCCTTAAAGAGAAAACTCACACCATACTCTCAGGGCCATTACACTTTTGACCCCAGACACTAACCACTGATGACATAGTTGTCTATTCTGGACCTCACTTTGGGCATTTGCTCAATAAATACTAAATAGCTAAAATGATACACTTCAAAATGTCTGACTTTTCAGAAAGCCAGCCACTCTCCCTAAAAATTAAAAGGCTTCGGAGAAAGTCCCTCCTTGGATTCAGACAAAACAAGATGTGGATATTACACACTATGGGGTCCTATGGAATAAGCAGGCCAGGGATCATTTGTCTCAGTAGAGAGAAAACAGCTGTGCCTCATGGTTTGTTCAGTTACTTCAAGAAATGCACCTCGTTATTCCATCCAAATCAATTAAGGTAAACTGCTACAGAGAAGAGGTTGATATTTTTCTCAGGCCTTTAGTAAACATTGGATGTCTAGTATATTAGACACCAGGACTTAAATTTTAGAAATGCATTATATAATATTTTTGAATACACTCATAATTGTAAAATACACCTAACAAATCTAGAATTTTCTGGGTTTTTTGTTACAGTTTGGAATGGCATCCAAAAGTTTGTGAAGGATGTGTTTGCTTAGTTTTGTCCTTGTCTTTTCAAGGAAATAAAAATTAGTGGTCGTATCATTGTATGTGTTTCAGAAGTTCAGTTTTCTATACAACTTTTCATATATGCCATCTTAGGTGTTCTATAACCCTGCACACTCTCCGAAATGTTATTTGGTGTAATTATTTTCTGGTGTGAGGGGCATTGTCTCTGTTGTTTTTTGGGGCAGTGGTAATTTTTGAGCCATGACTAATGATTTTGTGCTGGAATGTTGCTCCAGATTCATAAATAAGTCTCACAATATTTTTCTCTTTCTCCTTTTGAGTTTTGAAGTTATGCCACTTTTTTCAGCCTATGTTCTATGGCTGGATGAAGGGAAGGGTTGTAAAAATCACAGGGAATAACAATTATTTAAACTCATGCATTAAATCCCTAAATTAACATAAATTACTGAGTCCAAGTTTAGTTGTGATTTTCTTTTATATTTCAAATGCACCTACATATGGACTGTGGACACACATGAATTATACTCTATTTAACTAGCATAAAGTGTTTATAAAAACTCAAAGTAGTTATTAATTCTATGATAGTATTTATAGCTAAGTCTTAGTATCAGTAAAATGTAACAATCATATTGATTTTCAAATGTATGTTTTCTACATATAAGTAATTAATTTTTATTTTGCCATTTCTACACTTCTCAGTGAAAAGTGTTTTACAGTGAATGCAATTTTACAGTGAATACAATTGGTTCTTTGTAAAGGTACACAAAATTTACAGACCACTAGCTACATGAACCAAGAGAATAAAAGATTCACGTAAACACAATCACTAACAACAAGGAGACATTATAATTAATATAATATCACAGAAATACAAAAGATCATCTGAATATATTATAAACATCTCTATAACCAGTAACTAGAAAACTTAGGAGAAATAGATAAATTTCTGGATTCATATACTCTCCCAAGATTGAATCAGGAAGAAATAGAAATCCTGAATAGCCCAATAATAAGTTGTGAGATTGAATCAGCAATAAAAAATTATTCTCCCTCCCAAAAAAGACCAGGATCAGATGGATTCACAGCTGAATTCTACCAGTAATACAGAAAAAACTGTTCTAAAATATTAAGGAGGATGAAATCCTTCCTAACTTATTCTATGAAGCCAGTGTCACCCTGATACCAAACTAAGCAAGGATGTCACAATAAAGAAAACTACATGTAAATAGCCCTGATCAACATAGATGCAAAAATTCTCAACAAAATACTAGCAAACAGACTCGAATAGCACAAGAGAAAGATAATATACTATGATCAAGTGGGATTTATTGCAGGGATGCAAGGATGGTTCAACATATGCAAAAGAATAAATGTGACTCACCACATAAACAGAATTTAAAACTAAAATCATATGTTCATCTAAACAGATGCAGAAAAATTTTTTATAAAATTCAGTATCCTTTCATGATAAAACCCATCAACAAACTAGGCATACAGGTTACATACCCCAAAATAGTAAAAGCCATATGTGACAAACACAGCCAACATCATATTGAGTGGGGAAAAGCTGAATGCATTCCACCTAAGAACTAGAACAAGACAATGATGCCCACTTTCATCACTCCTACTCAACATAGTACTGGAAGTCCTAGACAGAGCAATCAGACAGAAGAATGAAATAAAGGACATCCAGATTGGAAAAGAGGATGTCAAACTATTTCTTTCTATGATATAATCTTTTACCTAGAAAACCCTAAAAAATTTTCCAGAAGACTTCTAGATTTGATAAATGAATTCAGTAAAGTTCAGGATACAAAATCAATATGCAAAAATCAGTAGCATTTCTATGCACCAGTAATGACCAAGCTGGGAACCAAATGAAGAACTCAGTCTTATTTACAATAGATACAAAAGATAAAAATAAAATACCTAGAAATATAATTAACAAAGGAAGTAAAAGATCTCTAAAAGGAAAACTACAAAACACTGATGAAAGAAATCACAGAGGACACTAACAAATGGAAAACATCCCATGCTCGTGAACCAATATTGTTAAAATGACCATACTGCCCAAACCAAATTCAGTGCAATTCCTATCAAAACACCAAAGCTATTCTTCCCAGAATTAGGAAAAAACAACCCTAAAATTCATATGGAACTAAAAAAGGGCATGAATAGCGAAACCAATTGCAAACAAAAAGAATAAAACTAGAGTCATTACATTGTCTGACTTCAAACCATGCTACTAGGCTACATTAACCAAAACAATATGATTATGGTATAAATACAGACAAATCAATGCAATAGAATAGAGGGCCCATAAATAAATAAAATCACATACCTAGTCAACTGATATTCAACAAAGTAAACAAAAATATACACTGGGAAAACACACCCTATTTAATAAATAGTGCTGGGGAAATTGAATAGCTATATGCAGAAGAAAGAAACTGGACCCACATTTCTCACCATATACAAAAATAAATTCAAGATAGATTAATACTTAAATGTAAAATCTGAAACAATAAAATTTTTAAAGGAAAACCTCAAAAAAATTATTCTGAACATTGGCCTAAGCAAATAATTTATAACTAAGAACCCAAAAGCAAATGCAACAAAAACAAAACTAGACAAATGAAACCTGATTAAACCAAAAAGCTTCTTCACAGCAAAAGAAATAATCAACATACAGAATGGGAGAAAACATTCACAAAATATGCATCTGACAAAGCACTAATATCCAGAATCTCTAAGGAACTCGAACAACTCAATAAGAAAAAAAAAAGAAATAACCCTATTAAAAACTAGGCAAAGGACACCAGCAGACATTTTTTCAGAAGAAGACATACAAATGGCCAACACACATATGAAAATATGCCCAACATCACTACCATTAAAGAAATGCAAATTAAAACCACAAGTTACTATCTTACACCAGTCAGAATGGCTATTATTAAAATGTCAAAAAATTATAGATGTTGGTGAGGATGAGGAGGAAAGGGAACACTTACACACTGTTGGTGGGAATGTAAGTTAGTACAAACTCTGTGGAAAACAGTATGAGAACTTCTCAAAGAACTAAAATAGCACTACTATGCAATCCAGCAATCCCACTACTGGCTATCTACTCAAGGGAAAAGAAATCATTCTATCAAAAAGATACCTATACTCATATGTTTATAATATCACTATTTACAATAGCAAAGACACGGAACCAATCTAAATGTCCATCATTGATGACTGGATAAAGAAAACATGGTATACACATATACACATACACCATGGAATACTACACAGTCATCAAAAATAAAATCATGTCATTTGTAGAAAAGTGGATGGAACTGGACACCATTATCTTAAGTTAAATACCTAAGGTATTTAACTTAAGGTATTTAACTCTGACTCAGAAAGTCAAATACCCCATACTCTCACTTTTTAAGTAGAAGCTAAACAAGGAGAACACATAGGTATAGAGAGGAGAGTAATAGACATTGGAGACTTGGAAGGGCACAAGGGTGGGAGGGAGGAGGAAGGTGTTGGGAGAGAAATTCCTAATGGATGCTACATACAATAATCAAGTAAGGGTTACACAAAAAGCCCAGACTTTACCACTGTGAAATATATCCATGTAACAAATCTTCACATGTACTCCCTAAATCTATATATTAATACATTAAAAATAAATAAATAATAAAAATAAAAGATACATCTAAAAAATAAAATAAAAACACTTTGTAATACTGATAAACTTTGAACTTTATCTCTGAGGATTAGCATTTTTTTTCTATATAACTTCAAAGATTTTAATTTGTTTATGTGTTGCTGTTTTACATAGGAAGGTAAGAAGGCTATGAACCTGTGAATGATGCCACAAATAGTAACCTATGCTATTAGTACTGATATTGCTTTAAAAAATAAAAATAATACACATGTATATGTACAAAGTACAAACAATACAAAAAGTAATAAATTTTTAAAAATTTTCCTTACCTCATTATTCAAAGTTAATCATTATTGGTAGCTTCTTTTGACCCATTTCTCTCCAGAAGAAGCTAACTAAAAATAAACACATATAACATCACATAAATATTCAGGTGTCTTACTATTTATTCTTCAGATTTATTTATACAATGACGTCATATTATAAAGATTATTCTATGCTTTCCTCTGTGTAATTCATACTACACTGTATCTGTACATCATTATGTGGAACTACTTAATCTCTTATGTTTATTGTTTTCCATCATAGGATATGGCGTTATTTACTTCTGCTATCCCTCATTGAGGAAACCTGGATTGTTTCTGTTTATAAGTATTTTTTAATGAAGCAGATAGCTAATTAAACCATTTTCAGGAACTCAAAGTAAAAGCCCCAACTTGTTGTTCATTCAGGTTCCCCAGGGTTTGTCGATACATGTTTACCTTTTCCTGCAAGACATTTTAGGACATGTCTATCCTATTCTGGAAATTCTCCTGGCCTATCTGCATAGGAAGGCTGCATCCAAGGGTTGTATGAGCTCCCTAACTTTGCCTGTGATGGCTCAGGTTGGCTTCACAAGGAAAAAAACATGTTAATCCGGTGGAACTAATCCTTCTCTGGGACCTGGCCCAGGAGTAATCCATAAAGAATCAATTCTCCGTTATCTGGGACAATAAATGATGTACTATCTTTGGGTATCTGTAGAGGGTAAAGACCTGGAAAGTAAAATGCTGTGTGTGTGTGTGTGTGTGTGTGTGTGTGTGTGTGTGTGTGTGTTGTGTGTATAGTTATAATCATGTTCCTCATCTTTTTGTTTCATTTATATTAATATTTGTCCCTCTAAGAGCTAACAGCAAAGTTAAAAATAAAAACCGCAAGTTAAAATAAAAAGAGGTACCAGAAAGAAAAGTGATAAAGGCACTAAATGAATGATTTACTCTTATCAATGGAAGTAGTTAGGAATTTAAAGAAACCCCAGGGGCAAGGTTATTTCATTGTGATTTATCACCACTCATTATTCTTAAACATGAGCACTCACAATGTAACATATAGGAAAGCAATAAGAATCCGTTGAAAAGTGTAGCTTTTCTCTAAGGACATCTTGGCAGCTGCAGAGAACTTTTGGTTTCTAAGAAAGGGAATGGCATACTATCAATATAAAGAACTGCATGTCATTGTAAACTCTGAGATAGAATAGAATCATTAGAGTTGAAGGAAATTACTGATAAGGGATTTGGTTGGAAGGGATTACATTTGGCTTCTCTGTGTTGACGACAGCTGCTTCTGGAAGTTGAGTCCCATGACCTCAGTTACCACCACTGTTGAGCTGGCAGAAATGGCGAGTCCCACTGGCAGGTCTCTGATGGTCACTGGCTGCCAGATACTGCTCTGTTAGTACCAGGAGTCCATTGTGCAGACTTGAGGATTAAATACTTGCTTTTTAGCACTCATTGCCAAAGACTAAAGTACCTCCTCTCCCACTGAAGTTTAGATAGAAATGCAGAGATCAGTAAAGGCAGTTATGTGAACCTAGGTTTCAATAATATCATATAGTAACAATTGTCTCATCTAGCTCTTAAGAGTTTTATTTTTACTTATTTTTAAAATTATTCTCCATCTCATTCCAATTACATGGAAAGCCTATTAATCCATACCCTTCATTTATTTGTTAATGCAGAGAAACAAAAAGTTCAAATGTGAAAGCTTTATTAGAGAAAATAAAATGATGAAACACACAGCTGTCCCAATGCCATTTTATGCAACTATTATCTACTGTTAATTGAATCTATGTATAGTAGTGATAATAAAATACAGGAAGGGCAAATAACCTAGCAAGGCTACTCTTAGAAGAAACATTATTAGTTTTACAAAATCAAAAGTGGGAAAAGAACAGTAGCCTACTATGCTACTGAAGAGCTATATGTGAATTAACTTAGGAAGAGAAGTCATTAACTTCTTGGAGAAAATAAGCCAATTTTTACATATGAGATAGATTTATAACAGAAAGACTATGTTCTGTGAGTGACTTACTTTATGTTTTTTATTCAGAATAAAAGGTAGGTTTCAAATTTCTGATAACAATATAACTCAATAATCATAGCCTTACATGCTTATTTATTTGGAAACTCATATTCTATGAATTGTGTCTCTTCAAGAGAATTTCTAGAGGGGAATCTATCAAGTTTCCTACAAATCCCTTTAACTCTCGGTAGCTTAATCAATGAAATAATAATTACTCCCAAGGAATAGAATTGTCACCCTGCTACTGAGTGGACTGTTTATGGAGACAAGTTTTCAGCCCATTGACAATTACATTGAAAATGCATTTTATTTTGATGCATATTCTTTGGTTAACGTGATGGTGTTCCATGTGTGCTCATTTAGTGTTTGTGTGCACACTTCCGTATGTGTGTATGTGTGTTTGTATGTTGTGATTTAGAAAATTGAAAGGCACATTTTAATCTTTTTTTAGAAGATAATACACAATTGTGAAAGATATTGCTCCTTCACATCAGCAGTAAAGACCAAGGAGAAACAACACAAAATTTATCCTTTTTCTCACAGAACTGATGACAGTGGTGCAGAGAAGATGATTAGAAAAGATATAGTTAAGTAATTGTAATAAATGTTCACATATGCTGTAACAAGGACCTTACGATACTCCAGGGGAGTATATAGTATGTGCCCCTAACCTATGCTAGAAGTGATCTAAGAACGCTTTTGTGAAGAAAGTGAAGTGAGTTATTACACTTTGTAATTAAGATCAATTCCCAAGTCCTTGCCTCCTCCTTTTTGTCCAACATCTTATCTTCTCCTTGCTCCCCTATATAACTATTGTGTTAATTTGCTGGGGCTGCAATAAGGAAGCAAACTGAGTGGCTTAAGACAACAGAAATTAATTATCTCAAAGTTATGAAAGCTAGAATTCTGAAATCAAGGTGTTGGCAGAGCCATGCTCCCTCTAAAGTTCCAGGAGAGGATCCTTTTTGCCTCTTACAGCTTCTGATATCTTCACGAGTTCCTTGGTTTGTGGCAGCGTTAACTCCCATCTCTGTCTACATCTTCACATGGCTGTCTTGTCTTACCTCTGTGTCTGTGTGACTCTGTGTCTTCACGTGGTGTTCTCTATGTGTGTCCATGTCTGAGTCTAAATGTTCCTATTCTTGTCTTATCCTTATAACGGTACCAATCACATTGGATTAGAACCCACACTCCTAAGGTGTGAGTTCTAATGATCTCCTCTTAACTTTTGTAAATCACCAAAGACCCTATTTCCAAACAAGTTTACAAACACAATTATTAGAAGCTAGGACTTCAGTATATCTGTATTGGGCGTGGAGGGAGACACACCTCAACTCAAAACATTTATTAAGATCTCTTTACCCCAAAGCACAAGACTAATATTGCACTGCTCTTTTGATTCATGTACAGTATTTTACAATTTATAGTGTAGAAGTGACAACATACACACGTCTTCCTGTAGTGATTTTTCTCGTGCATTTCACTTTTTACCCTAGCACAATGTTTATGTGTTAAATACTGAATATATGGACTAATAAAGAAGTAAAAAACATTTCATATTCTAAAATAATTTTTCAATTGATTTCAAACTTATTACAAAAATGAAAACAGAAAAATTCCCTGTACTTTATGCACTGTCTTGTATTAACTGCTAATTTGTCAGAAAAAAAAAAATACCAAAAGAATAGCAAAACTCCCAAGGTGATAATATGAAATAGCCTCATATATTATCCTGACAACACCCCTACAGGCTGCCAAGAAATATGAAATTCAACAAGCAAAGATGCTCTGCTGCAAAAACCTTCCTGTAAGAGCAAGAATGATCACCTTCAGAAACTATGCTCAAGACCACTCCAACTGCAGAGGAATTGTATGCAGAAAGGCATTCTCTCTCAGACTTAAAGCCTGATGTTGAGTAAAGCAAATTATATTCCAATGGAAGTATTTTAGCACTTTTAAAGAATATCACCAGGCTTCTGCAGTCTCTGTTTAGTAAGAAATAAAAGAAATTATAAATATTGGTCTGGGATAAAAAAAATAAAACCTCTAGACTTTGCATTTTCTATATATCACTTGAAATTTATAGAATGAAATGCATTTCATATTATCACCAAACTGAACTTTTCTTATTTCATTCCTGTAGTGTTAATATTAAAGTAAGAAAAGAAATCAATAATGGAATAAGTAACCATAATGTGATCAAGTTACTGTGAATCAGAGCCTGGTCTTAAATATATAGGAACCAACCCCCCCCTTTTTGGCATTTCAGATTTCATCAGACTGTCAGTGACCAATTCATGCTAATCATCACACTGTTACTGAAAGCTTGGTACTTATCCCACAGGCTGAATAATGAGAACAAAGTATGAGGATAAGTGGTTTGAGGAAAGAGAAATTTATTAATTTGCTGGAAAATGAGGAGGGCAGTACCTAGACAGCCTTATAGCATTATTTCTGTTTGCCTTCAGCATCTCAAAGACCACCATCCTCCCTTTAAGTAGAAAAACAGGGCTTTTTAAAGGGGGGGGTTGGGCAGTTGGGCCTGGGTCTATGTCACCAGTGTCACATGTCATGGCTTCAGCCTATTGTTGCTTAGCTATGATCAGTAGTTTTGGTCTTGGGTTGTTGTGACCTTATCTATAGTGACTAAGATCTTGTGACTCTTGTCACAAGAGTCCAGACAATTCTGTTAAGATAATAGAAAACAAAGTGCAAAGGACCTTTCTTTGCTCCTTTGATTACTGGCTTCTGGAAGGAATGCAAGTTTCAATTCTCAAAAAGGGGCTGGAGGGAGTTAAGAAGTCAACTCATAAAATATTTCATTGCCCCTTTTCAGACCTTTACCTCTGTTACAATATAAGAGGCAAATGTAGGAATTAGAATGCCAATTGATTAGCTTTTAAGGCACAATTCAATGAAAGTTGTTCAAACTCACTGATAACAAAATACAACTAAATGAAAGAAAAAAGAAAAACAACTTCCTATCAGTCAGAAAATACTGTAAAAATCCATGACAAGATGTTTTTAATAATATGAGAAAATAGACCTTCAAGTATGTTGTAAAGAAAGAATATAAATCTCAGGATACTCCAAAATTCATCATGCCAAAAGGGAGAAATGAGCCTGAGAACTGAGTTACATAAACATTGCCATCTTCTCCTCAATGAGGTACACATGTCCCCTTTTAAGAAATGAAGGGGCTTATAAAAATGACTAAACAGAGTTTTCTTGGTGGACAGGGTATGGGAGGGAGAAAGGAAGCCTGACTGGCAAGGTGGTCTTGTTATGCAGATAAGTCTCACTATACTATGCCTCAGGGTAATGGTTTTATTAAGACCTTTAAAGGTGTCAGACTTTTATCAATTCTGACTCAGATCAAATAAGTCAGACCAGACTGCATTTAAGAGATTCTCTACAGATGCAAATTTCTTCCTCAGCCTCCCCATCTAGACAGCCTTATAGCATTATTCCTGTTTGCCCACAGCCATCTTAAAATATGTAAAATAAATATATTTTCAGTTAAAATACTTATTTCCTTCAGCCCTAAAATCCCCTTCAAGATAAACAGACCCTATAAAATGAGTGCATGCCAATTATAACCTTAGGACTGTAGCCCAAATAAATTCTTAAATGTTGATTATAAGTTTATCTCCACAGATGCAAACTGAGGAAGAGATATGAATACTCTTCTACCTACCCTGAGAAGATTACAATATTGACTATTTCCTCTATCCCCTTTTTTAGAATGTTTATCTTATTTTATGTAGATTTACTGAGCATCATGCAGAACTTCACAAGAATACAATCAATTACCTCACTACCTCACTGCTTACCTCCTTCACCCCTCTTTTTCCTGTGTACCCCCTTCTTCCTAAATGCAAAGTTCTCAACCTCTTCTACTGAGATTCCAGTCCACAATAGGTATTTTGTGGGTTGTGCTTTTCCTGGGAACATCATTCAAATCATGGCTTAATAAACTTCAATTGAGTATTACTCTTATTTTCAGTCACTTATTATTTAAGTTAACAATGTCAAGTGTGATTCAAAATAACATCATTTTTCTGAAGTCGAACTTCACAATATGTAGCAACAAACTTCTCAAAACCATATTCCTTTTGGTTCTGCAATAAGTTAAGATTACATATCTTAAATATGTAATCAGACAAATGTGCAAAGATATATGCATAAGGGCTTTCATTTCAGTACGGTTTATAATAAAAGAAAATTATAACATATTAAAATATCCGTTAATATGAATATAGTTAAAAGTTTTAGACAATGAAATGCTATGCAACTGAATCTGAACCTGTTTGATCCACTAAATCAAATTCTACTTTATCACAAATACAAGGCAAGAACAACATATTGAATGATACCAAAAGAATATAATCAGGAAATCCCAATCTTTTGTAACTCCACAGAACAAAAGATTCCATCTTTCCTTAAAACAAACTGGAAAAAAGAGAAAAAAAGGAATAGGGGAGCAGGAACCAACTGATCAAAAATAACTCCATATATATTATCCAATGTGGAATTTATTTGGATCACAAAGCATATATAAAGAAACATTTTTTAAAAAATCACTGATGACAAGGAGAAAGTTTTAATCATTGAATGATATATGATTATTAAGGGATTATAATTAACTTGTTGGCTAAAATGTTGGCATTCTTATGTTTTTAAAAAGGAATTCATTTTTGTGAATAAGGTCCATTGTGCACCAGTTACCAACTTGTCTGAGTCCTGTGGAACAGAACACGCTTACATGCAACAAGTTACATGAAGTGGTTATTTTTTACTTACAGATAGGCAACAGGGACAACAGAAACCTAGGATTGCTTGTAAGCTATTCCATCAAGGCTCAGGAAAGCTGCCAGGGTGAATAGAATCTCATCTGCACATGCCCTAATTGCAGCCGAAAGACCCCAGAAAGTAGCCCGACCTAGGCTTTGTGCTCCAGGGTCACAAGACCCACCGAGTTGAAGGACCCAAAGAGTTGAAGGACATCCATCCTGCTTCTGGTAGTGACTGGAACAGAGCCTGGACTATTCCAGCCATTTTCTCCCTATCTCAAGATGTTGCATTCCCAGCACATTCTACATTTATTCTTGAGAACTACATACAAGAAAGGTGAGAGAATTGGGTTGGTCCAAAGCCACTCAGAGAACTAACTGCCTGGCAATATATCTTAGAGATATTTGCAGATGAATTAGTATAATATCTGGGATTTGTTTATAATAATTCAGGACTGGGGGTGAAGGTTAGTGGGAGGGATCTGGATGAAACATGATTGGATTGATAATTGTTGAAGCTTTGTGATCAGAAAGTGAAAAATCATTACTTTGTTTTTATAACATTTTAGAATAAGCATTAAAAATTTAAAAAGTATTTAGAGCTAAATAAAAACGCATGATATGGAATTACATATCACATTGCTTTTGTTCTGTAAAATATGATAGTGCAGGAGCTCAGGAAATTTCATTCCAAAATATAATTCCTTGTGATAAAGAGTATTTTGAATTAAAGGCCCTTAGAGAGCAACAGGTGTTGAAAGGGGCTTTCTCTCTGTCTGCATAAAACCAGATAAACACATGAAAAATACAATTCCCTTTCTTTCCCTTTCTTGTTATCTCAATATATTGTAGAAGACCAAGAATGCTATCAGAACTGGTCCAACACATTTTAAACATATTTTCCAAAGAGAATCAAGGTATGAAACTATTAGAACTCTAGAGGAAAAAGGTTGGGAACACTCTCCTAGACATCGGCCTGGGCAAAGAGTTTATGAAGAAGTCCCCAAAGGCAATCACAGCAACAACAAAAATAAATAAATGGGACATGATCAAACTACAAAGCTTCTGCACAGCCAAAGAAATAGTCATGAAAGTAAACAGACAACCTACAGAATGGGAGAAAATTTTTGCATCCTATGCATCTGATAAGGGACTGATAGCTAGAATATACTTAGAACTCACGAAAATCAGGAAGAAAAAATCAAATAACCCCATTAAAAAGTGGGCAAAGGACTTGAACAGAAACTTTTCTAAAGAAGACAGAAGAATGGCCAACAAACATATGAAAAAATGCTCAACATCTCTAATCATCAGGGAAATGCAAATCAAAACCACAATGAGATATCACTTAACCCCAGTGAGAATGGCATTTATCAAAAAATCTCCAAACAATAAATGCTGGCATGGTTGCTGAGAGAGAGGAACACTCCTACACTGCTGGTGGGACTGCAAACTAGTTCAACCTCTGTGGAAAGCAATATGGAGATACCTTAAAGCGATACAAGTGAATCTACCATTTGATCCAGCAATCCCATTGCTGGGCATCTACCCAAATGATCCAGTGACACTCTACAAAAAAGACACCTGCACTCGAATGTTTATAGCAGCACAATTCATAATTGCAAGGCTGTGGAAACAGCCCAAGTGCCCATCAATCCAAGAATGGATTAATAAAATGTGGTATATGTATACCATGGAGTATTATTCAGCTCTAAGAAACAACGGTGATATAGCACATCTTATATTTTCCTGGTTAGAGCTGGAACCCATACTACTAAGTGAAGTATCCCAAGAATGGAAAAACAAGCACCAGATATATTCTCCAGCAAACTGGTATTAACTGAGTAGCACCTAAATGGACACATAGGTACTACAGTAATAGGGTATTGGGCAGGTGGGAGGGGGGAGTGGGGCGGGTATATACATACATAATGAGTGAGATGTGCACCATCTGGGGGATGGTCATGATGGAGACTCAGACTTTTGGGGGGAGGGAGGGAAATGGGCATTTATTGAAACCTCAAAATCTGTACCCCCATAATATGCCAAAATAAAAAAAAAAAGTCAATCTGTTTCCTCCATCCATTCATTCTTCCAAGTATCTATTCATTCTCCCTAGTAACCATTTATTGTCCTTAAACAGAATTGGCTATATCTCTCATTC